ACCGTTACCAACAATAGCTGAACTCCCCACTAGTCTGAAGATGTTATAAAAGGTTTGAGTGTGTCAGTGGTCCCCTGCTCAGATGGGATATCCTGCCCAAAGTAGAACACCTATGCCAGATGTCAATCGTGTGAAACAGCATTAATTATCTGCCATCACGTTTTTAGGACGGTATCTCTCTTTGCAAGTTAAGCTTCTGTGAACAGAAAGTCATCTGGTTATTGATTTCTGCATGCTTGTTTGCACTTTGTCGGAGAGGAATGGTTAGATATTTATGCTTAATCTCGTACTTGCAGATGAGACGATCAATATCACTCACAGGTCGGTACTGTAAATATGAAGCCAGAGCCAGCAGCCTCGTATGTCAGCTGGCTCTGTTTAGAGGTGAGAAAATCCAGCCACTCTAAAGCTCACTTCATTAACACGTCATATTTAGTTTATTTAATCTGTACAATAAACTCGTCTTGTAACTATGAGCCAGGCAACCAGCAGAGGCTCCAGGAAGTTGTTCAACTTGGCCAAGAAATAGTCCGGCACCACTTCAGTTTTAGTACAGGCGACACATAAGAGATATAAAGTGTCGATCAGTGAGTGCTGGGAGGCAGATTGTGTTACCTTTTGAAAGAACCAGGCTGTTTCCACCTGCTTCCAGTGCTTAGCTAAGCTAACAGGCTGCTCGCTTTAGCTTCAAATCCTCGGTACTGACATGAGAGTGGTATCAATCTTCTCATCTTTCTCTGGGCATGAAAGTGTATTTCCCAAAAGATTAAACCATTGCTTCAATATGTAATTCAGTCACATCAATTGTTTGTAAACATTACTTTTCCCTGCAGCTTATAAGCGTAGATATTATATCTTTGTTATTAATTACATTTAATGGATATACTGTATATCATTAGCACAGCCAGACTACTATCACCCATGATCACAGTCACCACCCAAGATGTTGCCTGTAGAGGCTTGAAACAAATCAGCTGTGCATTTGAATGTGAAAAAGTAAATGGCAACCAGATGTTCGTAAGAAGGAAGGAAATGAATCCTCAGCGGACCTTATTTCCCGGCACTGGCCAATATTTATCTTCTGAAAGCTGCTTTTGCTTTGCCAACCGTTAAGTGGTGATGAAATGACGTCTCTTGTCACGTCACGCAAGCCTCTGCTCCATAGGTATGTTTGATAGAGGAAAATGCAGATCATAAAGAAGTGGCTGGTAACGTTTTACCAAATGGGTTATGTACTCATTATCTTTTTCAGACCACCCAGCATATGTAGAGGTTGGTGTTTGACAAGAAAACCGTGAGCATTTGTTCTCAGATTAGTCTCTCGAGGGGAACCAGGTGTGATTTCATGAGGTTCCTGTTTTAGTGTTACAGTCTTAGTTTTTTATTATCCAAGCTCACATTAATGTCAAGCTCACTTCAAGGCCCTCTTTCCCGCTGAGATAGGCGATAAAATATTCCTGCATCTATACCTGATTTCCATGCTTAATAACTGGCTTCCCATATCCAGACTTGCTGAAGCAAGAGGAGAAAAAAATGATTCAAATCAACCTTGAAAGCATTTTTAAAGCAATCAATAAAAAAATGTCATGTTGTTCCTTTCACTCTATTCGTCAGCTTTCCTATTTTGGACGGAGTACTTCTTGTGTGTGAGGTGCAGCGAGTGTGCAGCGTGTAGCTCGGCGCGTCAGGATGCAGAACGCTTGTATGGTTGCTATTGGAAACAGATGCTATCTCCATTTAAGGATACATGAGATATGTTGTTACTGGGGGATCAGGTACGAATGAAGCCGCAGTGAAGTTCAACCCTGGGATCATCACGTATGACGAGGCCGACGTCCTTCTTTGTTGCATATTCAGTAGCTAAGGAAGAGATGCATGGCTGACAGTGTTGCTAGGAGACCACACACAGCGACTAGTGTGAGAGGCTTGATTTCACCTCCCTCCCCCATTCTTGTAGTCTGGCTGCCTTTCACTGTTTCTCTATCTTCTCTTCCTCGCCTCCATTTGCTTATTCCCTTCAACCCTTCCTCCATATTTCCTTCCATCAGCCTGTCTCCAGTTTTACGTTTTCTGCCTAATCATGTTTGTCTTCAGCCCGGTTGATCCCTCAGCGACTCTATTTATTGGCTTCCCCTATTTTTCACCCCCCTCCCCCCCCCCCCCCCCCCCCCGCCTCTCTCTCCCGCTGCCTCGATCTCTCCTCCTCTCTTGCTGCTTATTCTTGTCCTGAGTGTTTCGCTCCTGCTTCCTCTCTGCCTCTCTCGTCCTCTCTCTCCCTGTTTGTTTCTGAACTGCAGCATTGTGTCTGGCTGAAGTGCGGTGACTGGTGTGCCGTGCGGCTGTGTACATGGATGCGCAGATATGGCTGAAACATGAATGAAACGCAGGCATATGTACCGTATCTTGTGTTTTTAAAAGTACAGATCCCACATCATTGATAGATATGAGTCGTAAACCTCTGTGGACACACAAAACTTTCCTGATTTCTCCCTTACTTACTGTCACATACTAAGTTACAAAGTAGTAGTATAGTAATAGTAGTATAGTTCAGCCTTGAAGGGATGCATTCCCAATCGTCCTAGTACTGGGTGTGCAGACGAAAGATGATGACTTCTATAATAAACAAGATGTTCTGTACTATCTGCCCCTTGAATATTCTTCTCTTCAATCAGCTTTGCAAATGCAAATGTATCTTATGAATGCTTTTTCTGTAATCAAAAAAGGAGGAAGTTTGGTGTTTGTAATAATATCTGGTTTCAAATCACTTTGTTTGCGGATGTCTGCGAAACAAAAGAGGATAAACTCCTCCAAAGTGATTACATGTGTATTTTTAATACACACTTCGTAGAGATATTACTCCGATGTGTTAAGGCCGGGCCGATGCTGTGTTGTGTCCCTCCACCCTGCAGCGTTACGGCCTCGCTCACAGCGAGGTGCAGCAACACTACGGGGCCACTTGCTGAGGTGGAGGCTGGAGGGCAGAGGGTTGCAGCAAAAAAACGCTCCAGAAGTGTTAAATTCAGTGGCAGTGGAGACAAAAAGATTTCAGACCGAAGACACCGTTGCACAAAGCAAAACCTTAACTTTCACTCTGAACTTTACTCTTTCTTACACCCAGAGACTTCAAATGTTTTGCATTTTTCCAATTTTCTGTCGATAATGATCTGAATTCTGGGTCATCCGTAACCCACACTCAGCTGCTTAGCATTTGCAATTACCGCTTCACACCCTTTGCGTGCTCGTGTGTTAAAGCATGTATGGAGGATTTAAATATGTGTGATCTGCTTGCTTATATGCATGAATGAGTAGTCTGCAGCGTTGCATGCAGATCCACTTAAATGAATCGTGGCTCCATCTGCCTCCTGGATCTAACGAGAGGAATCCAAGCGGCATCTGACCCTACAGATGCTCCTTAAACAACTTGCTAACTGCTCTGAATTTGTTTGGGATCTAAAGTGACCTCGGGCATTGTTCACAGCCAACCTATATGAGTGCACTGCATGTGATGTTTGAAGCCCAGTCTGATTAGACAAACCTGTGTGCCGATGAAGGATGACGTTCTCCTGGATCTTTTAGCTCGGCTAATTGCACACCAACCCACAGCCTGTAATGCGGCAATTGCAGGGCTGCCCGCTCCGCTGGCAGATCCTCGAAAACCCAAATCAAAGCTCCAGTTAACAAAAGCCCAACCTACAGTCGCAGCTTCCTAACCTAATTAACATTGAGTCAGCAAGCATGGCAGCAGCAGCGGTCGGGGTTGTGTTGAGGGCCGTGGGATACAAGAATAGCAGTAGCCACGCTGACACACTGGATGACACACTGGGCCGTGACAAAAGCATCACACACAGCTACTCGGCTCAACATGCCGCCTGGACCAGGTGACGGTGCCTGATGCGCCCACTGTGTTTTTTCTTTTTGTCGTTATAGGGAGAGATGGTTGAGATACTGTTCTTACAGTAAAGATGCTGTGCAGTTGGTGGTGATTGCGGTTTAACTGGTCCTGAATATGTACAGAATTTGAAGAGCATGGAAAGTGTAAATGTCGTGTATTTTTCCCTGCCCTTTTCATGCTGCTTGCATCTTTAATCAATTAAGAGTTCATTAAACTGGATTCACTTTCATTGTAACATGTTGAAAACATGTGACATTTGTTTTATGATATTTAACTGTTTCTTGCATTTACAAATTACAAACCAACAATTTCGGAAACGCAATATATGAAGCTTAACTTAATGCATCTCATACGAAGTGACTGAGCCAGTTGTGTGCACCAACAATGCTGTTCAACTCAAACTCAGGCAAACTTGATGCCAGAAGCACCAATGATAATGCTGTTCACCACCAAAAGAAACAGTCATACTCTGTTGCTATTTATGATGGAAAAACACTGGAAACATGCATCAGCTGACAGCTGCGCTTTTCTTAGCCAATTGCGTTGCGCACTCACATTCTCCAACGTGAAAACACCGTTGGTCCCTCAGATATCTGCCCCACAACAGGCCTGACTTCTCTTGGTGAGCGTGAGTATGAAGCTGTGCATGCACCACATATGACAAACCCCATTACTGTCTGGCTAGCAGACAGGCTTAGCTAGGCCATCCCGGGGCCTGCAGCCAGAGACGCTCTGCAGCTGAGTTACCATGCTTACTCAAATATTCATAACTGGATAATGAAAGTATAAATAGTTTTCATGTGATACACTAGAGGTTGGGGGTAAACAAAATTGCAACCGCCATCATCATGCATCAGTGTGTCTCTGCTCTGAAGGCTGCCTGTTGGAGTAATGGGCAGGATTGTTCGTGGTGAGCATGACAAGCTATGACTTCCGAAAAAGTTCTGCCAGTAATTTGGGTTTGATTATTTGGGTTTCATTGTGCGTCGCCACATCTCGAAGTAATCCCCGTCAATCTTGTCAGCTTGCAAGTAGGCTCGGAAGCTGTGAAACATGTTGTTTTAATGATTAATGAGCTCAAACATTGCTCTTGTTTCTTCTTGTTTAGGGGAATTGGAGGAGGCTGCCTGCGACATACATCCTGTTCTCCCGAGTCTTCTTCTATACCATGAGCTCTGGCTCTGCCCAGGATGTGGCAGTCGAGCATTTCCTGCGTGACATAGAGAGGCGAAGCAAGCGGCTACACTGCGCTGTGATAGGCTGCGAGGAGGAGCGACCCCGCAGCGACATGAACCTGCTGTATCGTAAGAGCCGCTTGGACTGGAGGCAGAGGGACCAAGAGGGAAGTAAAAAGAGGTGAGAGGATGAGCTCACAGGAGCTTTGCATATATGGGATTACATTAGGGTTCAGTTCAGTAGGGATATAAACCTCTTAGCCAGCATGAATGAGTTTAGTTTCAAAATCTTAATTCCAAGCACAGTTCATGAAGTCACAGGGGTTCGCCTGAAGAGTCTTGGACAAATTTGCATAGCAGAACTTCATAATGAACTTAATATGTTCTGTAGATGAGATAAACTATAATGCCACCTGAAATGTCACAGGGCGAAAGGTGGCCAAAACTTATGAAAAAGAAAATTAAGTTGTTGCCTAGTTTGTCTTCATTCACGTGGGATTATTTTGCCTCCACATACTTTCATCAGAGGTTTTAACCTGTAAGCTTTAGAGAGCATTTGTTTTCATTCACATGTGTCATACGCAAGTCGGTCATTCACCCCTTTAAGTTTTTTTTTTTTAGTTTTCTTCTGAAGCGAGAAGAATTCAAAGATGAAAGTTTGGTTGATGAATCAAAGAAGACAGAAACAGTGTGTAGCTTGCCAAAAACATATATATGTCATGTACACAATCATGTACAGTTCAAACTAAGCAGTGAATTGGAAAACCTTGCCTGTTGTGATGTGTATGGAAGAGTAACAATAGGGAGTTTGGTCGTTGAAGCTCAGCCTGCCAGCAGCGGTGGAAAGGAAGGAAAAACATTTATTCAAGCACTGTACCGAAGTACAGTTTTTGATGTACTAGTATAGCACTTAAGTACTTCCAATTCATGCTACTGTTTAGTTGTACTCCACTATAATCCATTTATCTACCATTTATCTACAGCTAAAATGGACTAAACCAGTGGTTCCTAATATTGTTAGCTGTGAACCCCAACAGAAGTGCTTAACTTGGGCTCCTTTGTCGTGTTTCAGATGCCTACGAGTTCCGAGCAGTTCTGCCAAGAAATGTCTCTCTAAACTTCTCAGATAGTTCAATGTGATCAATTGTTCAAGGCCCAAAAAGGTCACATTATCCAGTATGTCACAAAAAGCTATGAAGGTTAGAGAAAAAAAATCAACCTAAATTCATGTAGCTTCATTAATCATATTTCACCCCCTCACATTTATCTTGTGACCCTCTGGAGCTGGCCTGACACACGGGTTGGGAATCACAGAACTAAACTGCCTCTGTCCAACAACCCAACCTCCACCAGCCACAACATTAAAATGCTACTTAAACACGGACACATTCATTTTAACAATCTAATCTTTTATACTTTAATCCGATGACATATCTGTACTTTAACTTAAAATGGAGATTGTTGTATTGGTAGTTAGAATCTGAATACTACGACATGCCAGCACTGTTTCAGTGGGATTTAAAAGTGTGTGTGTGTGTGTGTGGTGTGTGGTGTGTGTGTGAGTGTGTTCAGGGCTCTAATTTCTCCACCATTACAACACAGTTAGCTGTTGATGCATCAGATCCAGCTTCTCTCTTCGGACGTCTTCCAGCAGAAGTGAAAAGTAATCACAACACAGACTATAATGTCAATAATATGAATAACAGTAATAATGATGATAATAACAATTCATCTTGTGTGATTTTTGGAATTTATTTAAACTGCATTATATATAGACATGCTGAAAGACCGCCAAGCATCAAAACAAACAAATTCAATGAAAATAGAAGACTCTACAAAAGTGGGCAGACAACAGCGTCACACTCTGAATGCCGGTTTGGTCGTGACAGTATTGTTTTGAAAAGAGCCCATAAGTGAGTGATCTCGTGTTTATGATGTGTGTTTCGGAGACCGAGTAGAGATGTACCACTAAAATGTGAGTCACCTATAATTCACCAAGTTCGCAGAGGAGAGGGGGAACATCAAGGACAACAACTCAGTTCGTTTAGAAGCGTCGTCCACCTCTTTCTGACTCACAGCAGTAATTGGAGGCCCTCGTGTTGGCAGCAAAGATCAACGCCATGGCAGCATCAGGCCAGTGGAGGTGTAGGGCAGCAAGTAGGACAGCGGAACATGATGAGCGATGAAAGCAGAGCCTGAGCTTTTGCCAGAGCAGCAGAGGTGAGAAGCAGGACATGACCAGTGATGATTGTGAACAGGGCAGGGTCAGGGGATGAAACCACACAGGGAGGAAAGGATGGAAACCAAATGGACTGGAGGCAGGACGGGCACCGACTGCAGAGCTGATGGGAGTGAGGGAGGCAGGGGGAGAGGAGGAGGGACATGGGAAAAAGTATGAAGGGCACTGGTAGACAGTTTGAGATCTCAAGGCCCTCAGGAGAGACATCACATTTTATAAAGCAGAGACGGCTGTGGAGAAAGTGAATTGTAAATAGGTGAGTTTCAATATGATTTTTAAAAATAGAGTTTCTTATGCCGACAGACTTTTTCCCCTCGCGACAAAAACCCCGACGCCTGCTGAGGTTTTATTTATTCTTGCACAAAATGATGAGGCCAGTGTGATGGACTGGTGTGGGTGTACCAATGTGTATGCAGATATATGAAGGACTAAACACAGCCCTGCAAATCCCTTTAAAGCAATTCACTCATTGATATTCAGTCAGACAATTTGACAAAGAGGGATGAATATGAGACAAATGCAAAGATTATCAAATGTTTGTAAATGACAAAGGGATTTATAATGTGAATCAAATCATGGATAGATTATTGTTTTAGTAAACAATGGAATTTGAAAAATAAGTTGGCTGTACAGTTAATTAAAGGTTAATAAAGGGTGGAATAATGGAAGATACAGACACAAAAAAACAATAAAAAACATGTTTGCATTCACCAGTTTCTTTATTTAGATTTCACTTACGTTGCACACAGAGGTCTTGTTATGGAAACATTTTTGCTTTAAATGAATCATTAATGTAATCTTTTTAAGTTTCTGGAATGAAATTAATTAAATGTTTCTAAACTGTTTCATGACCACTTGGTCTGTCTTGGTTCTCCATATGTAGTCCAAAGCCAACTGTCAGTCTTCTCAGTGTTTAAGAGGAGCTCTCTGTTGGCTTTACAGGCTTGAAGTGAGGAGCTCAAATGTATTTGTGGTGAGTGACAGAGTGTCTCTGAGTTTTGTATTATTATTATTTGACAGGGGAAAATGCAGATCTGAGACGGTGCAGCTTCTTCCTGAGAATAAGGACAACACAGACAAAGTGTGTCTCTGGGCCCAGAGTCATGACTTCAGTTTTCTCTGTGAAGCTCTTCCTGTATGGATGTGTGAATTTACTGACGCCTGGTCGTGTCCCACTGTCTGAATGTAACTCACGCTGAGCTCACCTGATGTCCTAATGATTACGGGACCATGTGGAATAGATAACGCTTATTTTTGGGGCATTGTTTGATTGAAACAAAGGTAAGATTTTAAACAGAGACACTACAAGAGCATCTCTACAATCAAAATCTTTATTTTGATATAAATATATTTTCAGTTGCATCAACTCATTGACCTGAATCTGAATCACTGTTGAATTGCCAACGATATATTGAGATAAACAGGGAATCAGTCCAAGATTCATATCCCTGTGACGTCCCTTTTATAGACACATCAAACCCAGAGAAGAGAGGCCTTTGTTGTCCCTAACATCTTAAGCGCATGGTTCAAAGCAGTTCAGGCCTAAAAAAAAAAAAACATGTTCTGAATGATTTCAGCTCATTCAGTTTTGTTATGAGCACAATTTATTTCAGCTGTCATGGCAACCAAATGTGAATGTATTCCTCATTGTGTCCTCATAAACAAAGAAAACCAGTCTTTGTCACTTGAGTAAAACACTTGAAAGTAGAAGTCAAAGAAGACTGGATTTCAGGCAGACAAAGACAAGTATTTTCTCTTAGCGGACGCTTCAATAAGTCGTTGTCTGTGTGGTTGTTCACTGTGGATAAGCAGTGACGATAAAGATAAAATGGGAAACTTATTTTAGTTTGGTTGCTATAGGGGCACCTACTGGGGCGCCTGTGTGTGTGTGTGTGTGTGTGTGTGTGTGTGTGTGTCACAGGCTGGCAACTACTACAATCATACTCTTAGAAGTATCAGTAGACTTGTGCTTTATTGTTTTGAGTCACACCAAAAGGCAGTTTCACTTTTTATGTAATCTTGAGAAATCATATTCGTTGAAAACCACACTAGAGACGGCCCATAACTTAAGGCAATCAATTAAAGTGTCGTGTATTGTGTCAAATATGTCAGTACGGTGCAACAGAATGAGGAAAGCTACACACTCGGTGTCTGCTGCTCAACCTTAACTCATCAGAAACTTTAACGACACACAACTTAACTGCTCTGATTTGCCCTCAAACCAGATTGGATGTTTTTTTTGTTTTTTTTTAACAGATAATCTCATTCAGCTGTTTAAACATAACCCACTCTTAAACTCTGCCCCAAAAAAGGTAAATTAGAAATAGGACGGTAGCTGCTAGGGGCAGAATGATCTCAACTGGATTTCTTCAGTAGAAGCTTTATTACCACAGTCTTAAAAGCTTTTGGGAATATCTCGCACTCTGAGGAGGAGGAGGAGGTATTCAAGGGTCGGTCCAAAGATAAATCTACCAAAGGTGTCTTTCAAAAGGCGACAGATCAGCAGCGATAAGCATTGGCATTTTTGCTCTTGAGTGAACTGTCACACTTGTTAGAAATGATTTGGAGATACCTCAGATTCATGCAGACAGATAAAATCCCAATTTGGACATTGGACAAAGCAAGACAGAAGGAGAAAAACTCCTTGAAATGTTAATTGTTACTGATTAACCTCTATTTATGATTAAAAAAGCAATTGGATCATACCAGTAATTAACAAGAGCTACTACACTGTCCTGAATTATCAAGGCTCGATTCATTGTATGGTACAGTTAAACAGTGCACCAGAGCCAAATACGCTCTTCTTACTGTAGACAATAAGGAATTAAAGGAATGGTTTAACATTTTAGGAAAATATCATCTGTATAAAGCAACCTGGTAAATAATAACAAATCACAGTTATTTAATTCAGCATATTTGCACTCTGCACCATTGCACTAATATATTATTGTTTACAATTTACAGAAACAGTCCGACTTATAGACGTGAATTTAGTTGTTCATTTTTTGTATTGTTTATATATATATATATATATATATATATTTGTCATCTTTAGCCTACTGGTACATTATGTACCTAACAGCTAAATGTTTAAATGTACTCTTGTTCAGCTTATATTTATGTTATTTGTCAAACTTCTGATTTAAGTGCCAGTTGATTAGGCACACAAAGAAAGAGAAGCAAATAGAGAAGTGAGAGTCCAGATACTTTTTGTACAGCTGAGGGTTTGGTCTTGGTTTGAAGAGAGCTTCTTCTGCTTTATGAAGAAGAAAAAAACAGAAGGAGCTGCTCAACCTCTGCTCTGGGCTAATTTTGGCCCTGTAGTATCTGTGCCGATTGTGAGGAGTCACAAGTAAATCTCCACAGGCCTTCAAGGGCACAGACATTCTTGTGCAGATGCAAGCACACATTGTTGCCGCAACACACACACACACATAAAAAACACATATTCAGACACACACGTGCGCTGCCTCACACTGATATTTGATGGGGAAGCAAATAGGAGCCTCTGTGTTCTCGGTGATGAGCAGCATCAGTTCTGCTTCTGCTGCTTGCAATGTTGACGACAAATCGTAAGCTCCAATTGTCGTCTCCTGCGCTTCGCTGCCTCACCGGGATGGCAACTGATCTAAAAGAGAGCACTGCGTGACCCGTAGTCATGTCTCGCCATTATGTACTATAATGAATCACTTACACACAGAATAATGGTGCATTTGAGCTGTTTAATTACACACTCAGAAACACAATTTAGCAAAGCCTCAAACGTGTACACACAGATGTGGATATCCAGATGTGCTCCCTGTGGCTAAGTTCTGATCAACACAAACCTGGAATAAGAATCAGCCTGTTGTAGCTGTGATTTCTTCCCGCATTGCTGCAGTACATTCTCATCTCTTTATCCTCCTTGTGGTGTTTCCACCATGTGTGGAGGCTTTTTTTTCCTCTCCTGTGACATTTTGTGTAGGTACAGTAGCTTCACAGTAGTCTTGTTCATGAAAAGTATATGTTGCACAAGGAAAAGTAATTCAACCTTGTTTGATTGTAGTTAGCTTAAAGGCCAGGGACGTATCTTGTGTTGCTGTGAGGTGAGGCAGCACAACACCCCTGGAGACACCACACCATTGCAGCATCTATCTCCAATGCAGAGAAAGGGTTATCAGAAGCCATTTTGTAAGGCTTTGGGCGAACTCAGCTCACAGTTTTAGCTCAACAACTTGAAGCGCTGACACTGATGCCTGAACTGTGCTTGACTTCAAACTGTCAGCAAATTTAGTTTACAGTTTAAAAATATTTTACCTAATTTGAGGTTCTGTGGTGTATTTATGATGCTCTACAAAAAGTTTTAAAATATGTTTTGTTTTTTGGAATCTGTAAAAAAGGCCAACGCACAACAATAAAAGATAATAATAAGCATCTGGATCTCATGGTGGTAATGGAAAGAAAGGTACATAATACATTTTACATTCAATTAAAGTATTTCACAGTTCGCCAAAAGAAAGAATGCAATTCCACCATTACTTTGTCTGATTTTCCTCTTTGTCAGTTTCATTTGTTTGTTGCACAGGAGCTCGTATTATTGATGATTTCAAAGACAAACTATCAAATACATGAAAGTCACAACTGTTCCCATGGAAACAGATTAAATGCTTTTTGCATGAGAGCAGACGTGGGCTGAGGATATAACGATATAAAGAAAAAGGGAATTCCAGCAGTGCAGTGTACACTTCGAGTACTTTGTTTTTGACAGGGGAATTGATTTCCTAATTGAATGTGTTTGAGGAGGAAGCAGATGTGGAGGAATTCAGATGGAAAGATATGTGCATGCGAAAGATGGAGCCTCCAGGGCTTTCCCTTTGCAGTGAAAGCCCTGCAGGCGTTTCTTTATTGCAAAGGCAATCTTTGAAGACCAAAGAGAGAGAGTGAGGAAAGAGGGAGGTCACTATAAAGGCTGGTACATTAATGTTTTTGCACTTAACTATGATTTCTTCATGCTTCAATATTTTCCCCAACCCCATTTCCAAACTGCAGCTCCAATCAAAACGACCCCTCAGCCACTGTTGGCAAAGTCAGAGACTTGGCTTCTTTCCGCCGGCACTTCCGGATGGGTTTCATGACCATGCCGGCCTCCCAGGACCTGTCCCCTCACTCTTGTGCCTCCGCCATGGCGCCGCGCTCGCAGTCCTGCCACGCTGTAGGTGCTGGGGATACAGGTCTGGAAAACGGAGATTACTCTGACACTCAATCCCATCACTGTGGCCGCTGCCCCCCAACCAAACCCAAACGGCACCCCAACACTCGCCTCAGCGGCTCGTCCACTGACGGCAGAGGACCTTTTGACATGCCGCCATCTCTCGCGTCCTCTCACTCACAGACCAAACACTCAGAGAAGAAAAATGGTAAGAAGTGTATTTTCAGGTGCATATTCCACAGAAAAAGATGATCTTGTATCTTCACATGCATTTTTATTTCTCCAACAGCCATGAAGAAGTCTGACTCTGGAGACCTCGGAGGAAAGAAGGTGCCTCCTTTAAAGCCCAAGAGAAGTCCAAGCACCCAGCTTTCCTTTGACCCTCTCCCTCCACGTGTGCCTCCTTCTGCCACATCCTTGCCTTTCCAGGCAGCAGACTCACAGATTCAGACAAGGGACGGGGACGATGAGCCGGTCTATATAGAGATGGTGGGCCAAGTGTTCACTAGAGACACCCAGACAGCCACCCCCCATCCTGTCACACCTGTGGCCACCACGCCTGACTCTGACTCAGACCAGAGTGAGGCCATCTATGAGGAGATGAAATACCCGCAGCAAGAGAACAGAGAGTCCCAGAGACACCATCCTACCAAACATGAGAAACTGAAAACCTCTAAACACTTCCATGTCACCCCTTCCTCCTCCAACAGCGCCTCCTCTCTGCCACGCCCCTCCTCTTCCTCTCCTTCCTACTCCAAATCCAAAGCTACCGTGTCGATCTCCCATTCGTCTCCTCTGCCTTCCTCTGCATCCTCCACCCCTGTCCCCCAGGTCCTCTCCACCAGTCCGCACACTCCACGAGCTCCTACTCCCTACCTGCTTCAAGGGACTAAATCTGAGTCCGAGTCCAACACGAAGATCCCAGCCCCTTTCCCCAATCTTCTACAACACCGGCCTCCGCTGCTTGCCTTCCCACAGCCAGCAGCAGCCTCCAGCGGGGTCGGGGTGCAAAACAAGTCTGCGTCTGCTAAAATGGGAACTCAAACATCCAGCGTGACAACTCAAGCTAGCACCTCCTCCTCAACTTGTTCGAATGTTCCCTCGTCACTGTCAGGCTCCAAGGAGTCGTCAGGAGGAAGTGCATCCCAGCAGGACAAACACAGCAGGGACGCCCAGTTGGGCCCTGCTCCCGGACTGAGAGCCAGGAGCCACTCCACACCTCTGCCGCCCTCCTCCAAATCCACCTCCCCTTTCTCCCATCACCACCACCACCCTCACCATCGCCCCTCGCACTACCACCACTATCGCAAGCCAGAGAGAGGAGACTCTCCCGCTCCACTCAAGAGCAGTTCTCAGAACCAGGCCACAGTCCAGACCCAAACCTCAAGTACAGGCAGGGAGGGCAAGTCTGTTAGCTTCCTCTTGAAGTCTGATAAAGGGGAGAGGGATAAGGACAGGGACAGGGACAAGGACAGGGACAGGGACCGAGACAAAGATAGGGACAGAGACAGGGACAGAGACAGGGACCGGGATAGGGGTAGGGACAGGGACAGAGATAGGGATAGGGATAAAGACAGGGACAGGGAAAGAGAAAGAGACAGAGACAGGGACAGAGAAAGAGAAAGAGACAGAGACAGGGATCGAGATAGGGACGGAGGGCCCTACTCCTTACAGTTGGATCACATCCCCTCTACGTCTAAAAGCAGCACCAGCTCAACCCCTACGCCATTATCCTCATCCCAGCGTCCTCATTCACGCCCCCATCTTCGCTCTCACACTCCTCACAGCCTGCCAGCGTACAAGCCTCCCTCCTCGGACAGCCCCTTGCTGTGGACCTACCCCTCCGGTGGCTTCCGGAGACCGCCGGCTTACGAGAGCTTGCGAGGAAGCTCTCACACGGCGTCCCTGCAACAGCCCTCGAGTCTTACTGGTTTAGGTGAGGGGTCAATGAAGAGCAACGGAGGGTCTTCCTCCCTCCATTCTAAAGTTGGCTTCATGCCCTGGGACAGCAGTGCCAGCTTAGCTGCAGATGAGGGATCTTACTGGCCTATGCAGAGGAAATTGTCCTTCAGCCATGGGAGCAGAGAGACAGAGAGTAAGTCAGAAGTCATTTTGAAGACAGAATGTTGATCCTGTGTTGAAAAGAAATCAGGCTTTTGAAGGAATGTTACGTTAAATACCCTTTCATTCTGTTCCTTCCCATGTCTCAGAGGACGAGGGGCGCGCGTGGAATGGCAGTGCTGATGCCCTACTAAGGATGGATAAGGAGGACCTTGGCATGGGGTCTCGAGGAGGCCACTCCGGCATCCCAGTCCACTTCAGCGGTGCCACCAGCAGGGCGCTCGGTCACAGTGAGTCCCTGGCTGGTGTGGACAGCAGCCCGGGTTTCAGAGCCCTGCCCAGAGTTGGTCTGCCTCTTCCCTGCCAGACTTTCCCTGCCTGTCGCAATGGAGGTTAGTAAACACTTAGTGTTCATAATCTTTTAGTCATACCCTCTAACCACAACATCCTATTTCGAAAGGAATGGCAGCGGATTAACATGGGGATTCTCCTGCTGGCTCTGCTGTGGTGTAGCTCTTAAACTTGGAAGAATCAGAGACTACATCCTCTCCTCTCCTCCGACTGTCACAGAAAGCTAACAGCTCTGCCTCCATTGCATCCTCTTGCACTGAAGTTAGCCTTGAAGCTCTGTCTCTCTTTGTCAGCCTCTTTTCATCCGCACTCAAGGCCTTTCCCTCGAAACAAAGGCTTGCTGCTTACCTTGAGAATCAGTGCAATACTTACCTTGAAGCAGAGCCAATAAAATAAGTGTTCCATAAACAGGCCCACATCTCTGCACACATGCATTAATGGCCCCATTTTTATGGCGTTTACAATGCACATTGTGACAAAAATGATTGTATTAAACACTTAATAAATAAATGGTGTTGAGTTGCATGAGCTAAGTATATGGACAGACAGAGTGCCATTTGTGCCGGTGAAGTAAAGTGATATTACAGGATAATGCAGTCAGAGAGAGACAGAGTGCAAACCCTACCCGTGCTGTCTGCAATCACATTTCAGTTTCATTTAATTACATCACATATCACTTTAGTTAGTGTTACACTTGTTTTTTGACAATGCAAATATTTTGGCAGAAAATTCAATCAGGATCATATTGTGCTTAAGTCTGGATAAACAATAATTGTTGAATAGTGGAAATTACAGATCACCACTTAAATTTAATTATGTTTTCATGTTTGCAATAAATTGAATGGAAATCTGTTTACAAGATCATATGAGGTATCCAGCTGACAGTCGAACGTTGACAGAGTGATACAGCAACACATGTCAGTGTAAATGTCCTCCATTGTTCATCAGTATAAGGTTAGTTTACAATGTTCTGGTAGCTTAAAGTATAATGAGCACACAATGTACAAAAGCTATGTCTCAACTCACATGAGTGTAGTTCGACATTCACAGCATGTGTGTTATAATGAAAAGTTGTATCCCTGTGTTCTCATTAGCAGGCACACAGTGTAAATTATTATTATTTATTTATTTTTTTTTACAGAAGTGGGGCGGCTGGGCCGCTCCTCCTCTGCTGCTGGAGTGAGACAGGTGGGTGGAGGAGACGTACAGAGACAGAGCAGCCTACCAGCACGAGAAGCCCTGAATAAGGTTAATATATAACGTTAGACTCTTATTAACTTCATTCATGGTAGATTTGGGAGTAACATTAATATTGGTCTCATTATTGCTTCCCCTCCTGCTAGAGACAGTGCTTCTGCAGATCTATTTATAGCTGGTAGATATGCCCACTGAGCAGAATAAGGCTCTGGCCTACCTCAAAAGAATAAGAGCTGCAAAGGTATATGACGTAGGCTGATATGTAATCAGAAAATGAGAGAGAATAGTGGATGAGAGAAAATGCTGTACTATGTTTTGGAGTGATGAGCTGCAGTCTTCCAGCAGCACATTTTGCCCAGATTCTGGCTGCATAGCAAGTGCTGACGCAGTTTGAGTGTGCTGCAGCGCCTGTCTTCATGCGGCTGGTTGACCCTCCCTCAGCCTGTAATAGATGAAGCAGCGCTGCATCCTCGTGGCTGTCCAGAGGAACTGCAGTTTTATTCTACATGTGCTAGGATTGGTTGCACTGCAGATAACACTGCAGTGACAATGCAGGTTTTATAGAAATTGAAATACTATAATATCAAAAAATACTACATGAATTCACTTATATTTTCTATTGTGTTCAGCTGCATGGTCTCGCCCAGCCTAAAGTGCCCTGCAGTCCCAGCAGTCCCAGTGTGTCTCGGCAGCAGCAGCAGCAGCAGCAGCAGCAGCTTCAGCTCCACCAGCAGCAGCTGCAGTTAAAGCAGCAGCTCCAGCAGCTTCAGCAACAGCACCATCTGCAGTTGCAGTTCCAGCAGCTCGCCCAGCTGGCACAGGGACAGCCTCCTGTCAGCGGGGGCACCACCCCGTCCGCAGCGCAGAGCCAGAGAGACGGTAAGCTGCTGGAAGTCATCGAGCGTAAACGCTGCCTGTGCAAAGAGATCAAGGCCCACAGGCGCCCTGACAGAAGCCTGTGCAAGCAGGACAGCATGCCCATCCTCCCTAGCTGGAGACGGACACCTGAGCCTCGTAAGACTGGCACGCCACCCTGCCAGAGGTCGCAGGCCGTCGTGTGGGACACAGCGATCTGAGGTGGGAAGACAAGGCCTGCAAGTACAGCGCTGAAGAGCGATGAGATGAGTTGAAGATGGCTGAACAATTGATGAGAGAGAAGAGTTTGATGGGTTTAGTAACTGGAACATACAATAACCACAGATGAGCAAGAGAGTTTTGCTCTTATTGCGTGAGAAACTGATCACAGAACATCAATGAAGGTTATTGGAGACTTTGAACTCATTTGGTAAAAAAAAAAATAATAATAATAAAAAAAAAAAAAAGGCTGTTAAAAGAGGTGAAGAAAGGACGTATTACAATCAGACTAAATTAATCTCTTACCCGGGTGATTTCTACTTGCTCTGTACTATGTCCTTCTCAATGTGTTCTAATTGCCAATGATTTTTTTGCCACAAAACGCCAGTATTGCCACAAAATGAAGACGCCATCGTAATAAGGGGTGGGATGTTTTCTCAAATTGGTGTTGCCAAATTTCCTCCTGACTACTTGACACATAAAGGGATCATATATTTTCTCCAACACAAAGTTGTGTCCAACTTCTGCGGATGAGAAAAGGCGAGACTCCTTGATAAGTTATTGAAGTGTTTCTTGAAATCGTGAATGCTTATGAGATGTCTTGGTATCAATAGATTGTCATTGTGGATGCAAATAATCATCACTGAGGAGTAAAAGCTACCTACTGTATCTGTTTGCATATTTGTAATGTAAATCTATTTACTTTCTCAACGTTTCTGCAATTTTATAGCAATATGCTCCGGACGCTGGAGCAACATAATTAAAAACTTGTGTCAACTAGCCTAACATACATATCTAAGACTTGAATAAGTCATATTTACTGTGTCATTCTCTGCATGTCACAATAGACATACAGGATTGTAAAAGAATATGTGTAGAGATGATCATGTCAGACTTTTACATACAGCAGATCTTCACTATGATAACACGTGGTTGTATCAAAAGATGAATATATCGCCTGGGGAGTATATCGTTAGAAGAGGTGGTGCGAAAGATGGCACATACTGTGTGCAGTCCAGCCAAATATAGATACAGATCAATGGTACAAAACTTCATCATCCATGCTTATCCACAGTTGCACATTAGTGATTGTTCCACCACACAGAAAAACAAGCACTGACACCCATCAACACAGACTGTACAATACGGTGCAACTGATAAGACTGTGAGTATTGATCACCTCAAACAGAATGCTGGAACAATCTGCACAAAACATGGTATACGCTTAGGAGAAATTAAACCCTAATGTACTGTAAATAGATATGTACAACTGTATTGAAAATGTAGCAATTATTTCCATTTTCATACTTGTAATCAATACATATTATGTAGCATATACTGTATAAACATAACTTTGTTCACTTGTTTTTTCTAAAAGAACTAAGTACTTTATCTGCTGCAGCCAGGCCATGCATTACTTATATAGTTCGACTAATAAACAGTAAGCCCTCTGAAGAAAGGCATGGTCCAACAGTTGTTTATTTAAATTTATGCAAGACTCCCTTTAAGCTGTGTTATTGTTTTATTTATACCCCTTTTTTCTACATTCATTTTTATTTGTGTACAGATTTCAACAGCTCGTTGTCTTGACATTTTGAATACTTTGCTGCTATCTTGAACTACTGGTGTTGTTCATTCAACCACACCGTGTTACCATAACAAACATTAATATAGTGGTTATTGTTACATTTTCTTTTCTTTTTCTGAAAGCCACGTGAAATGAAGTTTGTACCTTGAAGAGTGAGCCCTTCTGTAATAGTATTAAGGCACTTGAATGTCTCTTGGTTGTTGTCGTTTTATGATAGTTAGCACCAAGCTGTACAGTACAGTACACCCAGTGAAAAGAAGACCTATCTAAATGTTTGAGAGTCACTGCTTGGCCTTTTGTTTTAATTCCCGCCTGCTCGTGTTTGAGGGTCCAGGTTTCAAACAAACACAGGTCAGGTAGAAGGAAATGGGCAAGTGCAATGCATGCAGAGATTCCTTACACTGAAAATGTCCCAATGATACTGACTATTGTGCCCAACTCCAAGTAAATCACCTTGCTATGATTCCTTTTCACAGACTGATATGGAACCATAGGTATCATTTCCAAAATAGTTTACAGAAACTGTTGGTTTTGTGTGTCTTCTAAAACAGTGGCCATTATATGAGTGCCATACTATATTGATATGGTAAGATACGGTGTACCTTGGAAATCACTGTAGTGCTATATTTGCATTGATATTGTCATTAAAAATAAATTTTATATAATGAACTTTACACAACAAACAGGATCTGTGCATGTTTTCATGCCTTGTGTGGTTTTACAGTGGAGATGGTGGGGAGGTGGACATTATGTTCCCACTGCACTTGTGCAGCAAGTGTTGCAACACCCTGCGTGTCCATGTGAAGGCGCTACTTTCACTCTCCGCCGCTGCTGGTGTGGCTCCGTACATAACACCACAGTCACCGCTTCAATATAGCACACACACACAAACGATTGTAATCCATCAGACCTTTATACCTTCATAGTTTGAATTTTAAATAGCTTATTCACTAGGATTAGTTATTATTCTGGTTTTAGATTATGTTGAATGGTCATTTACAACTTGTGTTACCTGTAGCTCTAAATCTGCAACCAATGCTAAAAAAAACAGACGCATGCAGAAAAAAAAGTGAGTTTTACATGTAAAATATAATAGAAATAAGATAGATAATCAAACACAACAATGGGGACTGCGATTTATCACTGGGAACCTCAGACACCTTTAGAGTCTTCGGAATATCAAGGGGATGTTATGTTGGTTTTTCTTTGGGGGACGTGACGATAAGGGCCTGAGATCCAATGAAAGGACGCCCATCAGCCAGCCCTTGATTTGCTGCAATGGTTGTCTTTCGTGCGTTAGGCCTACGAGGAGGGGAGATGCGGTGCAAACGATTGGAGGAGGCGGGAGTAGCTCTTGCCGGGGATGGAGAGGGTGGGGGCTTGAGAGAGGCGGAGGGAGTGCTTTACCGCAGTATCACTAGATTTTTGCACCACTCATCAAAACTCTGCGGCATACAGACAAGAGCTAGGGGGGAGGGCAGAGATTAGGTCTACAGTCGAGTGCAGGAACGCTATTTCTTAATATTACTACCCATCTTACTCTTACCACATTGTCTAAAGAAGTGTTTGTACTCTCATATCCATTCATTTGTGCGTCTGAGCGCTTCAGTAGATTGGGTTTAATTATCTCTTTTAATCCCATAGCCGCGGTGCTACAGTAGCTCTCTCTCTCTCTCTCTCTCTCTCTCTCTCTCTCTCTCTCGCTCTCGCTCTCCCTCGGCTGTCTGGCCAATTGTTTCAACCCGGCGCTTATTGCATCAGGGCGCGTTTATTAGAGTTTAGGGGTCCAAACTTGTATGACAAAATGTCAAAAGATGGAGAAAAAACCGGGTGGAAGGAATCTATATGGAACTCGAGGACGAGGGAGTTTCTGGGCAGGACGGCTAGCAGCTGGGGTAAGTACTGTCCAGCTACAGCAATGCAGCAAACACGGCCCCTCCACGGCTCTGTAACAGGTCTCTGTCGCAGTCTTTTCAGCCTTTCCCTAAAGCTTCAGGAGAGGACTCCAGAAACGAAAGTGTGTCACTGTAATATTAATTTCACCCTGATGGAAGTTGGTTGATTATTTTCTTTCCTGTGTCAAGGTAATGAGTAGAGCTGTCGCTGTCCACTATAGTCTGGTGCTGAAATCTGAATTCTGTGAGAGCCGGTGGAAGAAAAAAAAAATCCTTCTGCCTAGTTTCTTTCTTTCTTTATTAATTTATGGCACTGCTTTCTCTGCGCAATGCGCCCAGCATAGGGGTGGAGGCACGTGGTCTTATTTTATATTTGAATTAGCCAGATTACTGCAGCACTGCTGAGACAGGTTCCACTCTGTTGCAAAGTGCATATCATCAACTCCTCTCTTTGAAAGCAACGAGAGAGCTTTAGCTAGCTACGACATGAATTCTGCGGCAGATGAGAGGTGTTTTTTTTTTGCCTGGGAGATGGGTTTCTTGAGTTAAGTATAAATAGGTTTTGTAGGCCTGTAGCTTTATCTAGTGAGTATTCAACATGATGTCATTCATTTTCAGGCTTTTACCCCCTGAGATTTTAAGGGAGATCCAATCCCAGCCTCCATGTAACACAGGAGAATTGCCACATGCTGTCCTCCTTTCTGCCATACAACCAGCTTGCAACGATATCAAAGATTCATGAAATGATAGGGCGCATATGGCTCTGTTCTAATGACATTGGAGCGCTTTAATCTGGGTAAAGCCGTAGGCCAAAAGCTATTTGTATCACCTCCAACCCGGCCCCTCCCAGTGAGTGTACATCAGTGAGGGATTTAATCCTAATCTAATGACTTCATTGGCTGATGGCGGAGGTATCAATTCAGAGGGTAGGATCTAGGAGAGTAGCCTAAACCACTTTCAAGAATTTAGATTATTTTTTGATCTTTACAATGGAGACATGATCTCAGCGGCACAGAAGTTTTGTGTTGACGATGTTTCATTAATGGATGTTTTACTATTAGCGCAAAGTTGGGAATCATTGAAAGTAGCTTCCTTTGCCGCAATCCTAGTGCAGTGTACGAATTAATCCAGCTCAGTGCGTCCCATGTGCTTTAAGGTCTGGTGGCCTTTTTAAGCTGTGCTCTCTAAGGCTTGTTAATTAGGCTATTTCTGTAGTCAGCCACTACATGCAGGTCTGCTAAACTTGGCATTTCACCAGAGCACTTTCTCATTCTCCAAATGATGCATACATTGTACGTAACCTACCCCTAGGTCCACTTGTTTGACTGCGTGGCAGTCCATCCATCCATCGTCTTTACCCACTTGTGTCAATATGCCCGCAGAAAAAAGTAAGGAAACACCCAAGTCAGGTTGCCAGTCTCTTTAAAAAGCAAATTTGTTGTTCACATTTATAATTATGCAGTACGTGCAGAGCCTTAGATCAAAGGCTTCTTTGAGGATGAAACACAGAACACTTGCTTGTGTGTTCTGCTTTGTGTAAAGAGCTGTAATGATATGGAAATAACCTTGATAAAACAGAACAGTCCTGCAATTTTGATGTTACAGTGCCACCAGCCGACACCAGGCAAACATGTTCAAACAACTACCTCTATTTAGAATAGAACTAATTAAGTGTTCTGCGCCTCACACTTCCAAAAACAACAGAAGGCTCATATTGCAATACAGGAAAAGTGCCTGAAAGGGCCCGATGGGTAGCAAAACCACGATGGTGGTCTCAGTATAAGATTGTAGACCATATACAAGTATATAATGATAATGAATAGGTGGTTTAACAATAAAAGGGCCGCAGTGCAGAGCTATTTATGCTTTCTCCAGAACACTTAATTTTCAGTTCAGAGAGCCGTTTGATCACAAATTTATAAAGCAAATGAACAGCGTGTCTTCCTAATTCATTGTGAAAGAAAAGAGACACCTCCTGCTATTATTATTGAATAAAGAACGGGATGCTAAACCCCCACCCCGGCCTTTTGTATATTGCTTTCAACTGCCGTCTGCAAACAAAACCAGGGTGAAAGAGAGATGCTTCACTGTCCGTCATCACCATGGACTGAGTGGGCCGACCGTGAACCTAACACTCTCTCTGCCAGGGGGAAAGCCACCCGGCACGCACGCTTGAACCAATATGCACGTTTTCACATCCTGTCTCCACTGGGTGGTGTCATATTTGCGGTTCGCACCACATCCCCTCTGGGTGACAGAGAAAAATACTTTAACATTTTGTTTTGTCGCATCTTGTCTCTGATGCCTCTCTCGCTGTAGTGCCTCTGGCTTGGTCCGGGGCCTGGGGGGCTGACTCTTTATATATTTAATGACTCAGCTTGGGTCTTTTCCATGCAACAGACATCTCGCTCAGCCATTCGATAATTTCACCTCGGATTCCAATGACTCTAGTTGCAATTAGATGAGAAAAAAACACACACGCAAGCTCTAAATCATCAAGATACCACTCTGTAATTCCCCCCCTAGTGGAGCAGCTTCCCCTTGACATTTTGTTATGGATTCCTGTAAGCCCGGCTGTGTGGGGGAGGCAGTTGCAGCGCCTGCCGACAGAGTGAGTGAGCTCCGTGCTGGGGGCCACAACACGGGCCTCAGGTGTTGATGCTCAAAATGAGGGATGTGTCATAGACGAGGCTATTTATGTTGTATACAAGAATGTCTGAGGTGGGAGAAAACAGCTGCTTCAAAAGTATTTGATCATTCAAGGAGGAAACATCACATCCAAGAGACAGTTCATCTAACCTCTGTGACAGAGTGGTACAATGTTACACATGATGTAATTTTCCCATTTAAATGTGCTGAAACAAGTCAGTTTGAGCACGGTCTCCAGGGGGTCCTTGTCCTCCCTCCTTCTGTATCCCCCTCTGTCATCGTTCCTCCCCCTCTGTGGACAGGGAAACGCTATGAGTTTCAGTGACCGGCCTTTTAATCTTGGTTTAATCGGATGCAAGATTGTGAGGAAAGCAACCATGAACATACTGTTTAGACCAAATTGACTTCATTTTAGACCACGTTGTGCAGTCACATTTTAAGTATGTGAAGGACGGTCGTTCATGTGTGAGAGAGAAAGAGAGAGGCAGATGGTTTAAGAGTTTAAAGAGGATTAACCGGCCTCCTGTGAACATTATTGGTCCGAAAGTGACCACACAGCAACACTGCAGCAACCTTTAATTAAAATGAACTGATTCCATTATCTACTCAGATTTAAGATTATTCCTGCTTAAAAATGTGCATTACGGTAATCATGAAATGGACTACACTTACCCAAAGTTGCAGATGTAGCTAATGTAGCCTTCATGCATAAATCAAAAAGCTTTCATTATAATGCACCGCCGCCAGCACAAACAAATGTATAGTGCGGCAGAAGTCTGGATACGAAGAGAACATTTGTGAGAATGTCAATGAATAATAAAACAGAGAATGCTCTATCTGTGCATAGCTCATGCAGGCAATATTGTGTTAGTTTAGACAAGCTTCAATTTTCTACAAAATCCCTTTGTTTGATCACATTTGATCATAAGGGAAAGGTGTGTTGCTTGCAGTGCTTCTTTGGTGTTAGTGTGTGGTAATTACAAAATGCTTGTTTGTATGATGCTTAGTGTGTTCTCAATAAATTATTGTTTCAGTACATTGCCATTTTGTTCTTAGCCAATGGAATTGAACTGAATTGATTTGACTTTGCAGATACCAATATGTTCAGAAATGAGTGAGTGCATCACAATTTAAAATGATATTAAGTGTAAAGAAACATTGACATGAACATGAAATCATACAATTACCTAAAAATATGAGGATAAGCAACCATGACATCTTGAATTTAGCAGGGAAGCTATAGCCTAATAGGCTTAGTTAGATATTAATTTAGAATAGGAACACAGGATTTGTGCGACACATTTATTTCAAATATCACTATGATATCTGTACAGTGTTAATTGAAATAATACATATTTGCATGATTTATTCCATTTGTATGATTTAGCTTTTCTAAGTAGGCCAACTTATTTCCTCCTGAATAAGATACAAGTTTCAATGTACAGAAGGAATAATTGAGCTGAATAATTCATCTTTGATCATTTCTCGCTGATATTGCTCTCAGCTGATACAACCCTCTTCTCTCTCTGTCTGCAGGTCTTATTCTTCTCTTCTATGTAGTTTTCTACATCTTCCTCGCCGGCTTGTTTGCACTCACCATGTATGTCATGCTGCAGACTTTGGACGAACACAAACCGACCTGGCAAGACAGGCTCTCCACACCAGGTGCAGTAGCTAATAATACAAATTGTGCGGACACAGGTCACAGCCCGTGGCGCGGTGTCGTGAAACCCCTGCTGTCTCTCTTGTCATTCACAGGCATGGTGATTAGACCCAAATCAGATGAGACCTATGAGATTATCTATAATATCGATAAAACTGAGACCTGGGACATGTACGCTCCGGCCCTGGACAAGTTCCTGACACGTAAGTCTGGCTCTCGGCCTCTCGTACAGTGATTTAAAAAGCTTACTGCTGTGGATTATTCAACAATCTAGAATTCATTTTTTACCCTAATAAGAGATAGAGGTAGGAAATTGTCTTGCACCAAGGTTTCGGTTGAGTCATAAGCCCTTACAAACAAAATAAATATACCCCCCCCCCCCCCTCGCTCTCCCCCCCCTGCAGCCTACAACAACTCCTTCCAGGCTGAGAAAAATAACGAATGCACCCCAGACCAGTACTTCCAGCAGGAGGACAGCGGCGATGTGAAGAACAACCCGAAGCGCTCCTGTCAGTTCAACCGCACCATTCTGGAGGAATGCTCTGGAATCAATGATCGTCACTATGGATACCATGAGGGCAAGCCATGCATCATCATCAAGCTGAATCGGGTATGAAAGGGATGGAAGAGGGATGGTGTTGCTAGGAGACATGGAGTGACTGAGATAATGAAACTGCTTGGGAATAAGGAAAAGAGTATCCCAGTAAAAATGAGAAAGTCAGAATGAAGATAACAGCCCTTGGTTGTTGCATTTATCGTTAATTTCTGGCATATTTTATAGCGATTTTAAACACGATTTTCCATTCCTCTGTGTTTAAAATGAGTGAAATGGGAATAGTGCTGGAGACGTGTTGTCTCTCTGTCTCGCCAGGTGATTGGGATGCTGCCAGGAATCAATGGACAGAATCCGTTTGTCACCTGTGGTCCAAAGGTAATCCCCTTTTTGTCTTTCACAATGAAAAGTGTAATGTAACAATTTGGATTTCAGCCCATTCATAGCTTTTGTGCCTCACTCTCATCTGCCACCTATCACTCGTCTCCATTTCCTTTGATGTCTGTGCTTGTATCGTTTCAACTATCATATCTGTGTTGCATGCCACGTTGTCACTTACACCACCTGCGTATGCTCCTCTTCTATTTTCTTTTTTTCCCCCATTGCGTTTCATTAATTTGCTCACTCTCAGAAATACAAAGTTGGCAAAGATCAATGGGTAAGAACAGGACGGAACCTGTGTTTTTAGACTTTAGATTGAGTTAAAACATGCATAGTAGCAATGTAGATTTTAGATATATATGTATATTAAGACCGTGTTTTGCATTAAATAGACTGCTGAAGTAGATAGTGGGCATGTTGGGAAATTAGATTGAGAGGAAGGAGATTTGTGGGGCTCACATTCTCCTCGTGTACATATATATGTAGTGGCTGTAACTCATGAAGCTGTTTCATCCCCTTAGAGAGAAGACTCTGACAAAATTGGAGAGATGGTGTACTTCCCTCCAAATGGCACTTTCAACCTTATGTACTACCCTTACTATGGCAAGAAAGCTCAGGTAAGATTTTGTCTGAAATCAAAATATTACTTAAATTAGCAAATATTGCTGCTAATAACCGAGCAGACGTACCAGACAAAATGCATCACTTCCTGTGTTAACGATGTCCTGGGGACCTGTTTTCGCAGGTGAACTACTCTCAGCCTTTAGTTGCCGTCAAGTTCCTTAACATTACTACCAATCAAGATGTCAACATCGAGTGCAGGATCAACGCCAACAACATTCCCGTTGGAAGTGAGAGAGACAAGTTTGCCGGAAGAGTTTCTTTCAAGCTGAGGATCAACACTAACTAGGTTGACCTTTTTCCTCTCCTGAAAACCACTTTCTTCATTCTCTGCAACCTTGCACATACACAGAAACACATGTCAGTATTCACACCCTTTGTAGGATTTGTTTACAACACCCCCCACACTTTGGGGGAATCTGTTTGTCCAGTTGTGTGATGAAATGGGGCGAGAACAAAAGGGTGGTAATTCTGTCATTATTTCTGTCTGTGAGCTTTGGGACAAATTCTTTTCTGTAAATTAGTTTCAGGGTGACGTCTATTTATACTGCATGAAAAACTAGGGGATGTAAAGGATGTGAAAATGTCTTTTCAAAGTTTGCAAGGATCAGCAACATTAACACGTTATTGCTGCTCCCCTCCTGCTGCCTCCTTATAGAGTAACCCTCTATAATTATACACAACTTACAATACAAAATGTGTATATCTACAGTATTTATACGGTATCATAACCTTATATCAGTATGTCTATTTTGTTGCACTCAAAAGAATAATTCAACAGACTCGCATATATCTTGATGGATGGATGCAGAGATGAAGTCATTTTGCATGTGTGTTTTGTCTTTAGTGTGCTATGAGGGCAAGGAGGCCCCTTATGTCCCACCTCTCTGCTAAGTGTGAAATAAGGTTATGTTAAACCACTGACCACCAGGAGGGGCCACACTGTAATCTACAGAACCTTACACACAGCAAGTGTGTACTTTTGAGAACAATACTGTAAGATAGGCATCTCCAAAAAAAAAAGGGAGTTACAGTAGAGGTCAAAACCTATAAGATCGTGTATGTTTGTGCATGTCTGAGTGTGTGTGTGTGTGTGTGTGTGTGTGTGTGTGTGTGTGTGTGTGTG